ACACACAGACACACACACACACACACACACACACACACACACACACACACACACACACACACACACACACACACACAACACACACACACACACACACACACACACACAAAAACACACACACACACACACACACACACACACACACACACACACACACACACACACACACACACACACACACACACACACACACACACACACACACACACACACACACACACACACACACACACACACACACACACACACACACACACACACACACACACACACACACACACACACACACACACACACACACACACACACACACACACACACACACACACACACACACACCCCTACTTTACTTACGTGCTGACTGACTTGCTGGCTTACCTACTTGCTGTCTTACTTACTTTTTTTTATTCCTACTAGTATTTACTTACTACACACTTGTGCATTTGCAACAACCTGGTCGAGTGAAGGTGCCACATATCTAGTCGAACTTACAACTTTCCCAACCGCTGGGCTGGGATGCGCGGACGGTCCAATTCGCATCCCATTTGGAAGCGGTAGGCCAAAAGCCCCTCACTTCTGTGGTACTTCTGCAGCTGCCAGGTCTTCGGTGTCCTGAAAGAGCTCGGCCTCAGGTGCAGGTGGGTTGCACTTCGTTCATTCTGATTACTACGACGTGACAACCCGAATCCTCAATCCATGCGCGATATGTCGCAGCCTTGGGACATGCCTTTTCGCACGAAACTCGCGAAAAGAAACACGGTGCCATAGTTGGTGCTTGTATTTGCACCTTCAGAGTGTTCCCGGCTGTTCCCCATGCCCGACCTGCTGATGCCCGTGATGCTCTCACTTCTGGGCCAAAGGAACCCCTGATACTTCGAAACGTGGGCCGCCGCCTGCCAGGGGCACGGGCACCCCAATTGGATGGTCCGATATGTTATAGGCAGCAGGGTTCCCTAGGGCCCAGGTTCGATCTGCGTGGGGCGCCCAACACAGTATAAGATCCGAAAGTTGATCCGCTCTCTCAGCCCAATGGCCTGCGAATCGCCAGGGTGGTCACCTTAAGCGGGGAGGTCATCTCCCGAGATGGGAACCTGGCGGTGATGGCCTGAGTTTCGGTGTTTTGCGCGGTTGTTTCGGGTGGGTTTAAGACGAAGAGGTGAGGGGCTTGGGATTTCGTCGTTGAGCTCGGCATGTGTGATCGGGGTTGTAGATTCGAAAAAGGTTCACTAAGGGTTGAAGGTTGAAAGGCTTCAGGGTCAGAGGTGCCAGAGCTTTTCTGATGGATCAAGACGGGGCTTGCTTTTTATGACGTTTTTCCTGTTGCTCCAGTCTTTTTGATACTCTTTCTCTTGTTCTCACAGTGCGCACAACTCCAGGCACACAGCCCAGACCCTCAACCCAACTCCCCAACCCACAGGTTCAGATCCCAAGGCCTGCAACTTCCCTAAGCTTCTGTGATAGGTGAAGGCCGAGGGGGCGCAAGCAGGCCAGCAGATGTATAGGGGCATGTGAACTCTATTTAGCTCTGAGCTTCAATGCCCCACCGTTCGACTCGCCTCCGCATCCAGCATCCCGCATCCTATGTTCCCACCGTATCCCGACTACATACAGAATATTTGTGTATTTGTGATACCCTTTGATTTCGGGTCCCTTATTGATTCGTAACACGAGTTTGGCCGAGCCTATTCTCCAACCAATGAAGGATGGGAGGGGAGAGCTGTGGTCTGAGAAGTTGGCTGTCTTGCCAATGTTCATCCAATCACTCACCCGGAGTGTAGCTTCCTCTTGCTGGGTGGGGTATTTGCACCCGCGGGGGGCTGGCGGCGGGAGGAGGGGGCGCGGGGGGGGGGGGTGGGGGGGGTGGCTACTGCACCAGGTATCGGGTTCAGGGTTATGGGCCTTGGAGTTTATAGGGTTTAGAGCTTTGGAATTTTGCGCCTTTAGAAGTGTTAACGGTCTGGGGCTTCTAGGGTTGAGGGCTTCTAGGGCTGGGCTTCTCGTGACTAGTGCTCATTTGGAGCTTTGGGAACTACTAGGTAGAGCCTATGGGGTTCGTCGGGTTTAGGGCTTTGAGGCCTTTCTGTAGGGTTTTGGGCCTTCGAGGTTTAGCCTGGAGGGTTTGCTTGGCCCATTTTCACGTCATGGCTCTTAGTGTCCAGAAACGGGCCACCTGAAAGCTTCATCTCCAATGCAAGCTCAGCAGGCGCTACGCGGTTTGACTTCAACGCGCTTGAAGCCACTCGTGGACGCCTGGAGGCAGTGACCTGAGCTCCATTAGCAAGAAGCACGAAGTAGCAGAAGAACGCGGAGAGAAAGGAAGAGACAGACAGTTTAAGCAGCGTCGCGTGGTACCCATGGGCAAACGGTGCGATGATGCCAGTTTCGCGTGATGGGGACCACAAACAGCAGTGGCCCAACGATTACATGCCCAGCTGGATCCGAAACCTCGGTCGCAAACGCGCGCGGGGAACGAACCCCCTAGCGAGCGGAAAAGCAACAACAAGTTTGGTCGATTCCCAGGTTCGTTTCTGGAGTATGGAGGTTCAGCAGCTTCATGGAGTGCTGCGCTGGAGTTGAGAAAAAGTTTGTCAGCGCTCTGGAAGGACGTTTCGGTTGCAGCAGGGAGCATGCCTCTACCATGAGAGAGACAGTGAGGTGCTTGTAGCATTGAAGTTCCCACGGCCATCCCTCAAGTAGAATCGCATGCGCGGCCGAACCACAACAGCTCATATTTGTATACTTGCAGACACGGAAACGAGGGTGCGAAAGCCATGATTCTTGTAGTCTGGTGTTTAGGCCAGCCTGACAGCCCCCACATAGCAATAACTGGCAGGGGCTCTTGCGTCCCAAGCTCGCAAAACTCCGGCAGTTAAAGCTCCTGAAGCTCTCACGTTTCGACAATCACGGAGGCCCTGCAGTCGCAGCTCGCTGAGCTGGGCACCGGGGTGACGGAGGCGGAGACAGCCAAGGCAGCCGTGCAGGCACGATGTTCTGTGCTGTTCGATATCTGCTCAATTTCGCAAGCTGACAAGAGTTGTAGAAGGTGGCACGCGGGTCTCGGAGTGGAGAGTGTTTGTATGGGTGGCATGGGTGGCACATCCGTGGGGCCGTGGATCGGCTTGGCTGCGAGTGGGCTGCCTCCCCCCACCCTGATCACCCTGCGGCTGCACTCATGTGAGGGCCTTTGCTTGCTGAATGGGCAACGATTGAAAAGTGGTGAGGTACGGGGATCACAAAGCGCTTGTGGCCCTGTGCAATGCATGCCTTTGAGCCGGCTTGTGTTGATTTCGAGGACGACGCGCGACGTCTGGAGGCGAAAGCGCACAACAGCCAGTGTCGCACCCAAAAGGGTTTTGACCATCATTGTGGCCGGGGCAGAGTGTTCACGGCCCAGGAGCTTCCTCAAAATTGAATGCCCAAGGCCAAGTACGGTGGGAGACGCCTAGCTCGGCCCAGAAACCCCTTTGGTAAACATTCCAGGGTTCAGTCAGACCCAGGCTCTCGTTTAGCGAGTTCGAGAACGAGCTCCAAGCCCGCCAGCAGGAGGGGTTCTAAGGTCATGCGGCGTGGATTTGGAGTGATGCGAAGCTTGTCGAAACATTGTACCCTCAGAGCTCGCAGACCTACAAGCTTCAGGGAGAGTTCCTCAGAAACCTTCTGCTTGAAAGCTGAACATGTTGATGAATGTTTAACCTTGCCTTGCTTAATATGCCTCCTGAATGTTTTTTGTCCGTTATGTTTCGGGTCTTCGGCGGCACTAATTGGTTTTTGTTTTTGTTTCTGTTTGTGTTGAAACCCCTCGATTGAGACGGTTGCGGGAAGCCGATCAAGGGCCTCGCCTACAGGTTGTTCATGAGAAACATTGGATTTACTTTGTGGTGGTGTGTTCTAGCTTCGACTGGATTCGCACGTCGTTTTGACTGTGCAGGTGCAGACAAGTACTTGCCAGAATGTTAAAAACCTGACGACAGTGGGATTGGCTACTGGGAAACCCTGCAAACCCGAAACCTCAAAACAGCACCCTAAGCCCTGAAAAGAACCCAAGGAAACACACGTGTTGAACATGGCCAAGCTCAAGCCATTTTCAAGTCCAACACGTTGCGTGAACATGCCGTTGGCCACGAGAAAGAGAAAGAAGCGGTCTGGGAGCGCTGGAACACTCCAAGTCCCTTCCAAAAGAAAGGCCAAGGAACATGTCAGGTCAATGGGCGACCAGGTGAGAGCTCCGGAACCGACCATGCGGTTACGGCAATCGGGCCTCTTGTCTACTTTCGAAAGGACAGACAAGCCTTATGTGCCCGAGGAGCTCAGTGAGATGACGGCTGCAGCGGCGGCACTGCCCACTAGCGAGTCCTTGGCCGAGGCCGGGCCGCCGTTGACGGAGGGGATGTGTAGCATGGTTTCATACAAAGGGCTCAGATTTAGGGTGGATTTACACTTGGCATCTCCGAAAGCACTGGGTAGAGTTCCAAATTTGCGAGATCCAGAGAGATCTGTCCATCTGAAGGCAAATGCATGGCTGTTGCACTTGTTTAGGGACTGAGAGTTCACGATCAATATAGAGGATTCCAGGTGTAGCTTGTCATGCAAGAAAGTACATATTGATGATGCATCTACTCTTGTGGAGTCATTTTGAGGGGGCACTGCTGGTTTGCTATGGGTGCAGAAGGATCTTCGCGGTCCCCACCTATGCCAAATGCACGAATGTAGCAGCCGGCTCGCAATTTCGCAATCTCAAGAGGGCTCACAGACAGGTACAGTAAGAGTGACGAGAATCATGACAGCTTCACGTGCTGCTTGGCTTTCGTTTCGGTGGTTGTCAGTGCGCCCTGTTGTTGTCACCGGTTGCTGTGGTGTTGCTATGGCTGCGGAGGCAAAACACAAGCCCGGGCGCACAACCGAGCCAGGTCGATACACACAATAAACTGCACAATCCCTGACCGAATCCTGAACCTTAGGCATCCTCTATGAGACCAAAAGAAGCTGCTAGTTGTTGACAGGAGCAGCAGCAGCTGCGCCAGCGCCTTGCCGCGGCGGAGGAGGGTGTGAGCTCTTCGGCTTTATTCTGTCAGGGCTTAAGAGGGTTCAAGAGGGTTCAAGCCGGCTTCGATCGAAGCCTTTGAGCGTAATTGTATGGCAATTTAAGGCCCAGGAGGTTATGGTGCTTCGAGTTGACGTCTCGCTTCGAAGTCCTTCGATGTTCGGCGGCCCGCTGTTGCACCCCAGCGACCTGAACCCTAAACAGAAGGAGACTCGAAGAGTACGACCCCAGCCCAAGTACTGCACTCAAGTGGCTTAATTTATGTCGTCTGGGTTGGGCCGTCAAGTATAAGCTCTCACTTGGCTTAATCTTGCGGTGTGCTTGTCAGCTCGTTGAGTGCACCTTAAGGCCTGAGCCTAAGCCTCACACCCGTCTCCCGACGGTCTCCCTACTATACGGTCTCCCTACTATCCTTGAATCGCTGCGCCCTAACCGGCCCTAACCCCAAACTTCCAGATCTCGCAGGTGCCGCGGTGTCAGATCGCTTTGCGGCTCTCTCGGCAGCGCTGAATGTCGACGATGCTCCGGATCTCAGCATGCTTCCCTGGCTGTCTTTCAGGCCTCCTCGGAGCCTTAGACGTGTATTGAGTGGATTCT